TGAGACGCGACTGGATATTTATCCTGGTATGCCTCATATCTTCTGGGGTACTTTCGCACATTTGAGCCAGGGAAAGAAAGCAACTGTCGATCTGGTTGAAGGGATCAAGTGGCTCTTGGATTGATACATCGGTAATTTAGGTCTGGATACTGCGAGAGTATTTTACTGGGCATTATAAACTCTTGTGATATTCTCATTTTATGTCGAGGAATCTCCTAAGATTGATACGTCTTCCTCCACGGCCCTTAATCTTATGCCTTCTCAGTTTCCTCCCCCTTCTCCGCCGCTAATCGGGTCAACACTTCCGATGCCTCCTCCTCTCGACCAAGAGGCACAAAGACATGATCATGGTAGAAACCACTAACAGGGTTACAACCAATGCCCTTGGCCGCTAATCTCGTCGCAACAACCGCCATGAACCCCACAGCTTCCAGGCTCGATGTGACATCGAGAGTGACCATCTTGCATGGGAAGAAGTATTCGATCTTGTTTAATTCCGCGTAGTCCTTGCTGACAATCACTGTGATTCCCTCGGACTCTTTGAAGATCATTTGCGTTTCGGGCAGGGGTGGTAGATTGGAGATGTCGGTGAACGTGGCGAAGACGTAGGTGGTTGGATGGACCGTATGGGTCAGAGTTGACAGGAGCTTGCTGAGCGACAGCTCGCCAGGATCGTTGGCCATCAGCGACATGATTGCGCACTTGAAAGCTGCCTCGAATGTGGTGGGAATTAGACAAAATGCGTGCATGAAGGATTCGATCCAACGCAACAGAGCACACGGCTTAGAGATTTGTACTTAAGTATTTAGATGGTGGAGTACAAAACGCGGATGCGGTCAATTGCTGGGCGCGCCTGAAGAGCTAATGACGTCACTTCTAATTCATCACGGTCGATAGGGTCAAGGCTTTCAAGTAGGTAAATGTTGAAAATTGGCTGCGCTGAACTCGTGAACAGAACAAGAGATCTAATATCAACATCATTTCCATCTTGAGTACCCATACAGCGATTGGACTGATCATTGAGCAACCTGGAGTCCACCAGGTCCCTGCTCAGTCTTGGCCTTAGCTTTATTGAAAGCATCGATAGCAGCACCAGTCTTGATGACAGCAGAGGGTGCGTCGAGAGGAGGCAAGACAAGTTCGACCAGCTGCGTTTCATCAGCAACGTCTCTCGATCAAGGTGAAATTGGATGAAGTCTTACCTCAAGGCAGCCTACATTGCCAAACTTGGGGTCCTCAAGGAGTGACGATAGCTCCCCGCAAGTCTTGATAGGGCCGTGGTACTTGGATTCGAATACGGGTCCGAAAGTCTTGCCGAGCATGGAATAGTCCAGAACTGCGACCTCATTATAAAAGGCTTCCTTGCCATGGATCAGACGCTCAACTGTGTATCCGCCATTGTTGAGCACGAATCTGGAACATGTCAGCAAACGCCAAAGGCTGCCGTCAGAACTGTGAAGAAGCTAAGTACTTACATGATTGGTTTGAGGTCCCACCGCAGCATGTCTGCCAGTGCCTGAATAGTGAGGTGCATGGAGCCTTCTCCAGTGACCAGGATAGGCCTCTTCCACTTTCCTTCGCTTTCCTTGATAGCCTGACCAACCCCAACAATGGCACCGGTAGCATACCCAATGCTTCCATATACGGTCTGGTTGAACATCATCACACCGCTGGGGAGTTTGGTATCGCACAGACCAAAAGCGGAGGTGCCGGTCTCGCCAATGATTACATCACCTGGGCGAAAGAAGGAGCTGAGTGCCTGTGCCAGTCAGTATCAGCCTTCACTAGAAGAAGCATTGGAGTAACCTACGCCCCAGAGGAAATCTTGCTTGAGGCCGTCGTTGGCCTGGAAGTTGAACTTTGGATATGGGTCCCAAGTGACGCATCGTGAAGCCATGGAAACTGGCATCGAACGAAGCGAATCCACGAGGTGTTGAAGAACCTGAAAGGGTTAGCTGGCTTCGCCGATGATGACCGAAAGCTATGCTCACAAGCTTCGTAGAGACCGGGTACTGCGTCTTGCCGATCCAAACAGCGAATCTTTGGAGGTCAATAATAACAGCATCCTTGTTAACAACAGTGGTAAACTCTCCCGTGTTGAAATCAGATGGATAGTTGCCGATCCAAATGACCATATCGGAAGATTCCAGCGCCTCTCTAACGGCGGGCAGAGTACCAGCGCCAGAGTGGACACCTGCGAACTGGGGAATGGCTTCATCAAGACCTCCTTTGCCCATGGCGGTAGTAAAAGTTGGAAAGTTGGTCAACTTGATCAGCTCATGCGATTCCTTGAGTACACCGTGGCGCACAGCACCTATAGATGGTTAGTGGGTTTATTGTGCAACTGGCGACTTTTGGACTTGCCTCCATCAACAATGATAGCTGGATTGCTCGATCTTTCCATCAGCCTTTTGATCTCTTCAACAACACTCTCCTCGAGAGCTGGATCGTTTGGAAGCAGCTTGATAGGAATTGGGACGTTGAGACCCTCGGCATCGATCATTTCGTACGCAATATCCACGCTGAGCCCGATATAGACGGGTCGGCTCTCACGCATCATGGTGGTAAGCGTTTCATCGATCTCCTGGGCCGCAGTAGGGGCATAATTGATCACAACAGTTGCAGCGGTGATGTTCTTAGCCATGTTCTCATACATGTCGAACTTTCCGTTGCCAAGACTGTGGTGCATGATTCTCTTGTTGCGAACTGCATCGACAGCCGGGTAGCCAACGATATGTACAACAGGAACAAATTCCGCATAGTGACCGGCCATACCGCAGTAGCCAGAGAGTTCGCCAGGCCCAAAAGTGGTAACAAAGGCTCCCGCACCACGGACGCGAGCGTAGCCATCTGCAGCGTAAGAAGAGATGAGTTCATTGGGGTTGCCTTTCCAGGCGAGCTCGTTGTCGGTGACGAGATCCAGAAGAGCGAGTTCGTAGTCTCCTGGAACGCCAAACACTGAGCGGATGCCGAGCTCATGAAGACGGCGGAAGAGGTAGTCACCAACTTTGATTTCAGGCATGGCAAATAATGAAGTGGGGTTTAGCTTGGATAGAAAGTGAAGTATTGAGTAAGAAGACTGTTGTGATTGATGTGCTACTCTGCTATTTCTGAGGGATCAAGCCGATATATTTATACTTAGACGTCGTAATCAAGGATGTCGTTGTGTGAAGGGCTCATGCCGTTGTAACCGCCTTTGAGACGAGAAGCATTGACGATGGTCGTTCTGTACACCATGGCTGCTTATGCCGCAGACATGGGTGGTGCGGAATTAGAAGCCACCCTCCAAGAGGGATAGAATGCAACATATGATACTGCTTTGTCGGCCACGGTTATACAAAGTAGTATTGGAGTGCTGTGTTCCGCTTTGAGCCGCCTGTATGGTGAGCCGCAAGTGCCGTGCCAAGGTTCTGCAGATTTAGTGGCTTGCCCGTTGGAATAACGGTGACGGCCAAAAATATCCGCTGGTCCATGACCCTGGTTCTTAGCAATTTTCGTATCTGGTATGCACTCAAGCCGATAAGGGATTGGTCTTGGGATGCTGGTCCCAAAACCGTATTTCTGTTGTTGCTGTACCTACGATACTTCACCGAGCTGCCGTATAATTGATCCATGGTTGGGTCAATCGACCTCACAAGTTTAGGCTATAAACATCTCAACGAGGTTCGTAATTAGCATTATAAAGTTTTGTTAAACGCCGTTTAAGGTGTGTAAGCACAAAGAGTACGACACCAATTGAGAGAGACATGACCCTAAGCGGATTAAAGGTCGAATCAAGAATTATCGTATACTGCAGTGAAAAATAGCGACGGGGGCACCACGGTATTTCGAAGAATTTCAGGGCCGGCGGGGTAGGCTAGGCTAGGGCTGCGGTGATACGCGGTAATAAGTGATGGTTGCATTGCGGGCTGAACAAACATGCGATGACATTCCATCAAAACCATCTATGTCACACTGCAACGAAAAAGCGGAATAAAACCGCCTCAGACGAGAGATACCGCAAGTAAAGAGACCTTGGTATTTCAAATACCTGGATATTGTGTTCAGTGTAACATAAGGCTGCCAATTCATAGACGTGGAATGACGAAGTCCTGCATGATGCGATATCGGGTTCCCCGAAGTTGAGTGTTCCATTGCGAAGCATCCGAGTCTCATCCGCCGCTAACTGCAAAGAGGAACATGCACCTACAGGCCAATAAACGTCCTTAGTCGATAGCTGAAGACAAGCACTCCCAGCGGCATCACGGTTAACTTCGCTGAATGTTCCACTGCATTTCAAGCTCTCGTTCTCTGGCTTTCCTCCGAATTCCATAAGGCACACGGATGGCTACAGACCCTTACCTGTTCAGATTCAGCAGATCATCTGCAATAGAGTAGTACATCAAGGTATATGTCATATTACCAACGACCCGCCCCCCAAGATGCGCCAAACTAATTTCACATCAACGTCTCATCATCATGATGACCCCGTGTTAGCAACCGGTAAAGAGCGGTGCCTGTCACTCAGGTCTTTTCCGTACTCTTTGTCTATGACCATCATAAGCTTTGAGGTTTGTAAAAGTGAAAGAGCAAACATTTGCGATGCGGCAAAGCCAACATGCAGCTGGAGTCGTTCCTGTCAGTGTATCAAAGAGAGAACCGGCCGTCAATGGGCCATTGAAGTCTCTTATAATTCCCTGTTTATTCTAATACTCACGTTTGCAAAAAGCCCCATTAGGAAGTGACCAGCGCTCAATGAGAGCTCAAAGAGACTGTCTGGCTCCTCATAGGCCCCAGCTCCAAAGAGACGACCGTACAAACGCAACATACTGCTTCAGCCTGATCTCACCTTGCATGCATTCGAGCGGGGTAGTAATCATGCCATCGATGAGCTCAAATCCATCGTCTTGGTCTTGGATTTATCTTCGCAATCTTGCAACCTGATTGTTTTCTTCTATCTTGCTCGTTACTGGTATAAACACGCAGCTGTAGCCGCAGACTCATCTACCTTGAAGCCTATCATGTCGGATCCTGAAGAAATCGCGAAAGAGGAGGCAATCCTCGAGGAAATTTCCGATAGCCATATTTATGTCCCAGATCAGATGTTCAAGGTCGCTCATCGATACTTCACCCGATACAGAAGAGTCGGATTGATGACCGACCTTGACAAAGCTATCAGCATGGCAACTAAGGCTATTGACCTCACGCCTGAGAGTAACGGACAGCGAACTTTACGCCTGATCAACCTCTCTGTCTACTGGCAACACCCTGGCAGTGCCGTTGAGTGACTTGTCCAAAAAGACTGGACTGTCAAGCCACTTACAAGAAGCCATCCGTTATGGGCGAGAAGCCCTGGACACCACTGGAGAAAACCATCCGGAGCGTGCGAACAGGCTGGCCAATCTAGGTGGTCGATACGGTGATCTGTTCTGGGGGACGAAAGAAAAAGAACATCTTGATGCTGCCATTGTACACTTAGAGTCTGCCTTGAATAGCCCTAACGCTTACGACGATACTCGCATCCGTGCAGGAAAACAGCTCGTCCAGTACTACGCGGCTGTACCTGACTGTGATAAGGCTTATAATGCTGTCAAGACTGCGATGGATCTTGTTCCCAATCTTATTGCACAGACTACTAGCAATGCTGATAAGCAAGATGCACTGGTCCAAGTTTATGGCTTATCATCCGATGCAGCGGCTGTGGCACTCTCGGCAAACAAAGGAGCTCTTTCTGCATTGCGGTTTCTTGAACAGGGACGTGGAATGATGGCAGCTTCCGTTGAAGAATCACGGATGGAAAGCCTTGATCTGCGGGCTGAGCATCCCGAACTTGCGGAACGCCTAAACCGATTGCAAGGTCAAATCAATTCATTTGGGGCTATCGGTTCTTCCAGTGATGAGATCCATGGGCCTTTGTTATCAGACGGACATGCCAATGTGAGCCATGACCCGGACGAGCTTCGCGGACTACTTGACGAGATCCGCCAAAAGCCCGGATTTAAAGACTTTCTCTCTGCGCCAAGCGAATCAAGCATCAAAGATGCTGCCATTCCGGGAGCAATTGTTGTCATCAACGTCAGCGAATTCCGCCGTGACGCTATCCTCGTGGAGCACAACAAGATCCACAGCATGCCGTTGCCTCAGCTTATGACTCAGGATATAAGGTCCAATACCCAACAAGCTCATACTTCAAGTCCAAAGATACTCGAGTGGTTGTGGCATACTATTGCTGAACCCGTCCTTGGTGCAATAGCCATCAATGGGGTTTCTTCTGAAGAACGCCTGCCACGGATTTGGTGGATCCCAACGGGCCTATTGAGCATAGACCCTCTCCATGCAGCTGACCAACATTACAAAGGGTCACGGAATACTGTGATCGACAGAGCCATGTCATCGTATAGCTCATCTATCAGAGCCATTATCCGGACTCGGGGTCGTGCAGGTCTGAACCCGGTTCCCTTGGGCAACGAGCGGGCCGTCCTTGTATCTATGGAGCGAACACCAGGGTACAGTACAGTCCTTTCGGCTGGCAAAGAGATAGCTCAGTTACGTCCCATCTGCTAGTCTAAAGGATTTGAAGTAGTTGAACCAAAGTCCCTCAAAGAAGACATTGTTTCGCAGCTTCCAGGTTGTCAAGTCTTCCACTTCGCTGGCCACGGTGCCACCAACCTACGCGACCCTTCTCAAAGCAGCCTTCTGTTGGAGGATGCGCCTCTAACTGTGTCAAACCTCCTCGAAACCAACATCCATCAATAATCGCCATTCCTTGCATACCTCTCGGCATGTGGTACTGGACAGATTGCCCATGAGAAGTTCCTTGATGAAAGTGTTCATCTTATCAGTGCCTTTCAGCTAGCTGGATTTCGTCATGTTATCGGTACTCTCTGGGAAGTTGGCGGCAGTATCAGCGTTCATATGGCAAGGATCACCTACAAAGCTTTCCAGCGTGGTGGCTCGGCAGATGAGTCGGTATGTCGAGGCTTACATAAAGCGACATTGGAGCTTCGCAATCAATGGTTTAAAGAACAGACTCCGACTCGTGGTCGTAAGAGGAAGTCAGGATCCATTCTACGAGATGAAAGAGGAGAGATGTTTGGTCCCCGTGATATTGAAGCCTTGGATGATGAAGATGATGAAGATATTCTTAGATTGCCGCAATGGGTTCCATATGTTCATTATGGAGTATAAATCGTAACTAACCATCTCTTAGTGTGATGGAGATCCGAGCTCAATCGCTCAGGGGCCTCTCCTCTATGTGGTGTCTGTACTCTACTAGTAAAACATCATCATATCTGCACTGCCATCTCCTTCCCCCCAGAGAAAAGGAGCCAGAAGCTACACGACTTCTGAGCGTCGACCCCCTAAATCGACTCGACGTCTACCAACTATCCTCTCATTCGTGATAGGGATGACGTTAGGAATGAAGATAAGGTCTGTGTATATTTAAACAGTACTAGGTATGAACAAGATTGATGGAGATTATTATAAGTACAATTTGAACAGAAGGAGAGGTTTTCCGCAACAAAAGTAAATGCCTAAGCATGATATCCGCTTCCACTTTAATTTGGCTTCTAGGAAGTGGCAGCAAGCCCTTGGGGCTTGACGTAGAAGAAATGACTTCCATCCTCGCGGTGCAAACGAGTGAGGAGAGACATGATCCTTCCAGGGACACCAGCAGACGGCCGGGTAATCATGTAGTAGCCGTTATTAGCTTGCCTAACGAGACCACTGATGAACTTGAACGAGTATCGGTTGTTTCCAGGCTCTCGCGGCTTGATGGACCAAGTGCAAGTAGGTCGTGCAAAAGGTTCAAGAGCCAAACCATGTCGTCCACCGGGGCACACAATACCACGCTGCCCAACCTGGTTAATAGCGACAGGATAACCTCTAAGAGGGTCGAAAGTCTCAAGGTTGACGGGGGGCCAGGGGTCCATTCGCCATTCAACAGGAGTACGTGTGTTTACACTGATGCGGGTTTGGGTAGCACCGATATCCTCAGCAGCGGCATATGTATCCTGGTTAGTCTCCCAGAAGAACGGGTGAGGGCTAGCGGGATCGAGCAAGATGGTCTCAGCGAGCCTGATGGTTTCATTTCCGATGAATCGGACGAAGTTGCGTTCCTGATCAAGCAGTTGGCGGATATGTCGGTCTATGGCACGTTGTCCTTCGTCAAATCTGACACCCTGTGCTCCATGGGCCATTTGAAGAAGATCGATACCCTTAGAAACGGTGATCCAGTAGTCAAGTACCTTTACACATGTTAGTTGTAGTTCATCAGTTTAGGTTATTTATACTTACGACTGTCTTTGATCTACTATAGTAGGCCACCAGATCAGGGGACTCGTTCCAGGCTTGCTGAGAGAGCTGTCGCATAAAAGCTCTCTCACCATTGGCATTCAAGAAGTTATGGATCTGGGTGAGCCATCCAGGGATGCTATCGGCGCATGCCTGGAGTCTATTGTCGAGCCGCTGCTGCAGGCTACTCATTCGATTCTCACGCTCTGAGTCGGTGATGTTTCGCTCAGCGATGTCATAAGCGGTATCTAAGATATCCGCAACAGTCTTGTAGTGCGCCTGAATCTGAGCCATTGGCTGATTCAAGGTGTCCAAACGTATCGAAATGATACCATTGGAGAGTGTGTCTGTGAGATCATCCAGAGATGACTGAATGAGTTGCATCTCTCGCACAACTCCGTAGATGTCGGCTCTGGTGACTTTGGCATTGGGATCCGAAGTCAGGTGGTCGAGGAATCGGCCAGCCGCCCAGCTGCCTGTTTCAGAGATGGCCCAGGAGATTCCGCTTGAAACGAGAGCCTTGCCTGCGGACAGGAGGAGCAAGCTTGCCGTGAAGGTCACAGCCATGTTCTGTTGAAAGCTTTATGTAGACTTGGAACGAAGATTGTGCTAAGTAGGTATTGTTGAGTGTTTGTGGCTTGTTAGTTTGGGAAATTCTTTTCTTGGGGGAGATCTATGGGATCTTTATACTTATTTCTATATATTTTCGATCGAATATCACGATCCAGATAGTCCCTTATCTCTTCTGCTTCCGTGGTCTCCGAAGGTAAATCTCATGACTTAACTTATTCCGGTACCTGGGCAACCAAGGAACTATTCTAGACAGGCTCTCAATCTCTCAGTCTCCATGCAATATCACAAGCGTGACATATCTCTGGTTCCGTCTCATGTCTTGGCAGGACAACGAATAGGTATACTACATATAATATCTTTCATCTACGGGAAATTCTAAAGTCTCAACTTAAAAAGTAAGCCATTACCGCAAGAGGGCAATTCAGTGTAATTAAAGTGAGACCAACGATCGTGCCGCCCACAAAACTCCGTAGACTAGTACAAAACCATCCACGGGAACATGCCGATTAACTTCAAAGGAATCAAGGAAATGATGACGGTATGTAAGTAATTAAAGTGTGGCTATGTAGAGTGTGACATCCACGTGGAACCTTGGCACTGAGAAGACCCGAGGCAATGGCCTCCTCGTGGTAACCTTAACGGCTGCTGCCGATCAGCAAGGACCAGGCACAGGGTTGAGATCGGCATACAGCCACTCAGCCGTGATGCTACTTGATTGACCAGTTCGCTAAATCCTCTCTTTTGCCCTATTCTAAGGATTTTAATAATTAATGTTCGCAACGGAAAGCTGTGATCTCCAGGCTAGCAATCCGGGAATATCTCGAGAAAGTGGCGATCACAAGGCAACCGCTGTATCTTTTCACACGATATATGATATCTGCTCTACATTCATCCCGCAAATCTACTCTATTCTGCTTTCGCTACTCTGTTTGACGAAATCAGCATTGAGCTTCGGCCTTGCCGTAAAGTCTTTCCAGCTAATCATCATCGTCCTTGAAGTTCCGGTATGTCTTGGACCAATTACACGAAAGACTAGCAACCAGCGACTAAGAGACTAACACTTTAGGGCACCCATTTCAGGCTCAACATGCCTGTCAGGATGTCACTGCTAGTGTCAAGATCTAGATGCGATCTCATTCTTTAGGAGAGTGCTCTTCATGGTTTACTATGTCCAGATAGTATGGTTCGCAGGAATGCTGCCAAGAAATATCAATTGTACCTGACTGTTTTCTGCTTCTAAAATGCATTTTCTTTCGCCAGGATATAGCCGCTGTATGGACTTTTGTATCTCATTGCTGTTAACGTTACGTATACTTTTGCAGACGGCTGTGAAGCCAACCAATTGTTCGCAGCACAGATGACAGCTGTGCCTTAGCAGAATATAGAATTCAGACCAATTCCGATGCTGTGCATACTATAACAAATCTCGTCAATATCCCGCATTGATACAAGGCACGAATGTGTACTCCAAAAGCATCGAGAAGGCATATATGATATTCACTACTGGTTACCGATTCGAAAAGCACTGCCTGGAATGAGAGATCCAAGTTCGTCGATTCTTTTGTTTTACGTTGGTAGCCTACGTTTCCCGTTTCTAGAATCAGCTTCGATGACCAACAGTAGCTGTCTAACAATTTGTGTTCTTAACGTGTGAGTTGTGAAAGAAAAGTTATCGTCCGAATGTTTAACACCTTTATTTCTGTGTCTCGAGATGTTGCTCTGAGGTCTTTGGGGAAAGACTACAGTATGATAAGAGAGATAAGATAACACCGCCTTATCTCTGATAAGATAAGCGCTTATCAAAGGGCAATATCCTGAGATACCATTACTGGCTTCACTTACCCTAGGCCTGGGATTTTAATTACTTAGCCTTTTGTTATTCTCTTCTTCTAATTGGGAAAGCCAAGAGTATCCTATTGCTCCCGGAAGATAGCAAACATCTCTCATGTGGATAAAAAAGAATTCGCGCAATTGGATACCTTATTTGCTTATATGTCACTTGTGTTATACAAGACATCTGGGAATTATTCCGGACTGACTCTATGATCAGTCAAGAATTTCTCGTCCTTTGAATCGATTTTGAGCTCGTATATGGCCTCCAGTGAGGTATAGGGCAATCATCCACAAGCTCTATTACTCTCGGCTCAGGGTACTATTACTGCAAATAACACGGCACTTCTGAACTGGTTATGTGCAACACTCTGGACTTCTCCACGAAGCCCAGACCCCCAATGCAGTTAAACCTGGCACCTCGGTCCGACAGTTTGAGGAACCACAGAAGTCCATGAATGACTCTGGCCAAGATCCCGTCGGACCGACGAGCTCGACCCCGTTAGTTTCGCCCCCCAGCCCCAGATTCTCTTCTCCTTAACCCCAGCTTTTGCTTTGGCCTGCATCGCCATCTCCATCCCCAGACCCATCAAGCCCCCCTTAAAAGCATATCTCGGGACGCGCGACACGAGATTCTGCCTTCCCCGGACCGACGAACGAGCCAGATCTCGAGTTTATGGGATGACGATTCGCGCCTAAAGACCTCATGAGCTGACCTCGACCCACTGGTCACGGATTTGGACTCCCAAAACCCCGAGAACTGACTGAGATTTCCCGTAAGCCACTGCCACTTGGAGAATAACACCATATCCGAGCTTAACTGTCCATTGAAGAGGCACCGTTAGTGTCTCGAACTTTAACCTCAAACATGAGCCAAGGCGACAACGCGTCCCTGGACACCGTGTCACCATCCAATACCATCACAATGGCTTCTAAGCCGTCATCAAAGGTCAAGCATATTCCCGCTGATGAGCCGAAGAGGCAAGCCCACAATGCAGAAGCCAGCGCCGCCACGGCGCTAGAGCACGAGCTTACCTTTCGCGACGCCGTGCGTCTCTACCCCAAGGCCATTGGCTTCTCACTGCTGTTCTCCATGGCGATTATTATGGAAGGCTACGACATGGCTCTCATTGGCTCGTTTTACGGATATGAATCGTACGTTATTCCCTGTTCCTACGGCAAGTAAGCACGCTAATTCGCCTTTTAGGTTCCGCAACAAGTATGGCAACCAACCAGATCCCGATGGCGGCATGGTTATCTCTGCGGATTGGCAGACGTACATCCAGGTCGGCGGCATGTGCGGGCAGATCTTCGGGCTATATCTCAATGGATGGGTCTCTGATGCTATTGGATATAAGAAGACTATGATACTGGCGCAGATTATCATGGTCGCTTTCACGTTTATCGTGTTCTTCGCGAAGAATATCGAGATGATCCTTGCAGGTCAGATTCTGATGGGCATTCCATGGGGTGTCTTTCAGACCTTGACGTTGGCATATGCATCTGATATCGCTCCCGTGGTTCTCAGGCCTTATCTCACGGCATATGTGAATCTCTGCTGGGTTATCGGGCAGTTGATATCAGCGGGGGTCCTTCGTGGACTTCTCAATCTAGATAATGAGTGGTCATATCGCGTTCCATTTGCGTTGCAATGGATGTGGCCACCGTTCATCATCCTCGGCACGATTTTTGCGCCAGAATCGCCTTGGTGGTTGGTTCGCATGGGCCGCCACGAAGATGCAAAGAAGGCTATCCTAGGCCTCGTCACGCCTCAGCTGGACATTAAGTTCGATGCCGACGCGCAAGTCTCAATGATTCACGAGACGAATGAGCTTGAAAAAGCTACGTCTGCGGGCACTAACTATTGGCACTGCTTCATGAGAGCTGACTTGAGACGGACTGAGATTGCGTCCATAACATACGTCGCGCAAGCCATGTGCGGCAGCGTTCTTATGGGATATTCAGTCCAATTTTATGAGCGCGCAGGCCTCTCGTCAAACAGCGCGTTTACACTTAACATTGTACAGTACTCTGTAGGCGCAATCGGCGTCATCCTTTCTTGGTTCCTCATGGCGAGATATGGACGTCGCGCGCTATACATCGCCGGCACAACCTCGCTCTTTATAATCCTTATAGTAGTCGGTGGCCTTGGATTCGCACCTCAAAGCAAAACAGGCCCTTCATGGGCGATCGGCAGCCTTCTCATCTTTTATACCTTTGTCTACGATCTAGCAGTTGGACCAGTCTGCTACACCATTGTTGCAGAGATTCCATCGACACGATTGAAAGCGAAAACGATCGTATTGGCGCGCAACTTTAATAATATGGCAGGGCTGGTAAATAATACGCTGATGCCAAGAATGCTTGGTGTACATGCATGGAACTGGGGTGCGAAAACAGGTCTTTTCTGGGCGGCGTTTTGCTTTCTCATCATGGTATGGGCATATTTCCGTCTTCCGGAACCAAAAGGCAGGACTTATGGAGAATTGGATGTTTTGTTTGAGCATAGAGTCAGCGCACGTAAATTTGCCAAAGCGCGGGTGGATCAATTTGGAGACAGCACGGGTGCTGTCGAGGTTGATACGCATTCTAGATAACTAACGGTTGTACTGGGTAAACTATGGGTATATAAGGGACACGGATTTTAGATTGGCGTTAACATGTAATCAATTTGCATATTTTGCTCACAGTTGCTTCATTCGCGGCCGAATCACAGCTGCAGGCGAAATAATTAGCCAAGACATTGTCACCCTGCAGTCGCATCTGCAGTGAAGCAGCTGACGATCTGTTCCTCTGGAAGGGGAAATAATCGGGTACTTCCCAAATGCGTAGTAGATAGCAATGGAAGTTAATCATGAGGCGCGGGGAGCGCTCAAACCTCGGATTTGATCTCGGACCGTCATGATTGCAACGGATATCCTAGCGTTAACTCTAGATAGACACGCCTTTTCTCTTGGCTCTTTGACGATCTACCACGATCTCCACCCAAAAATCCCTTCTCGTCGGCTGATTAGCTGCAGCTGCAGTCTTGTCGGTCCGACGACATCGGCAAACCGAAGCGGCTGGGGCGTAATCTGGGGGTCTAGAGAGGTCGGCTGAATTACCTACTTATTAGGCAAAACCCGGGCTCGACCATTTATCGTTGCTTCATTTTTCTTCCATTTTTATATCTTTTGACATTCCTTCGACGTTTAATGACTGCGTTTGAGAAGTATAAAGTGACGGCGGAGGCGAAAACGTACTTGGGCACTCCGAAACGAACTACAATGACGGTCAAGAACACAACACCCCGCCCTCGATGGCATCCTTCGCCGACATACCACCTCAAAGCACCTCGGGGTTGGATCAATGATCCGTGCGCACCCGGATATGACCCCTCAACAGGCACATACCACCTATCTTATCAGTGTCAGTACACCCATTCAATCTCGGCCAACTCTTATGCTGACTTTGCCACCAGGGAACCCCAAATCCTGCGATTGGGGTGACATCACTTGGGGTCATTACACAAGCAGAGACGGTCTCACATGGAAGCAAAACACACAAAATCCAGTCCTAGAACCCTCTGAGCCTTACGATGACAAGGGCATCTTCACTGGCTGTCTTCATCCTACAGGTCTTCAAGGAGAAGAAGGCCAACTCACCGTCATCTACTCATCCATCACAAATCTTCCCATCCACTGGACTTTGCCGTACACTCGAAATTGTGCTGGACTGTCAGTAGCAACATCGACAGACGGTGGTAAGACATGGCAGAAGAGTGAACAGAACCCGATCTTGGAGGGCGAACCCGACGATCTCACCGTCACAGGTTTCAGAGACCCATTCCTGGCGGAATGGCCGGCTTTGGATGAAATGAGAGGCGAGGCAAGCCTGTATGGCTTTGTTTCTGGAGGTATTGTCGACGGCGGACCTACAGTATTTCTATACGCGATTTCACCGACCGACCTGACACAGTGGACATACCTCGGCCCTTTGATCGATTTGCCCACAGGATACAGCCCCTCCAGTCAATGGGGCGGCGACTTTGGTGTCAATTGGGAGTGCGTTAACTTCATGACCCTTCACAACGAGTCCGAGGAGCGGCCTTTCTTGCTTATGGGAACTGAAGGAGGGGTTAAACCTGGTGCTAAGGAGGGCAGTGATCAGTGGTCGCTTTGGATGGCTGGGTCTCTTGAGCAGACCGAAAAAGGACCCAGGATAAAGCCCGAGTACAATGGAATCCTCGACCACGGATGTTTATACGCACCCAACTCTTACGAGCACCCTATCACCAAGAACAGGATCGTCTGGGG